TAGTCAAAATGACTTAGTTACTCAAAGTTGTTCTTAAAACAATATCCCTGTTACCATATGCAGTATTCTCTTGGTTCTGCTCATTTTGCTCTTTATCATTTTGTGCAAGTCTTTCAATGCCTTTCTAAAGTCAAGGAGCTCATCAATTCTTATAGCACAGCAGAATTCCGTCACAATCATACACCACAACTTATTTGGCCTTTTCCAGATTGATGGACATCCCTGCAATTTCCAGTACTTTGCCGCCACAAAGAGAGCTGCTATAAACATCCCATTCACATTCAGTTATAATTACTTTTTGTGAATTTCCTTCCATCTTATTTTTACTCACTATTTTCTTTCTCAGCCTCTCTTTTTACCCTGTTACCTTATCTTCTCCCCCACCCACCTGTCTAAGAGTCTCCCATCCCCCCCCCCACACCCCCCAAAATCCCCCCACACACATTTAAAAAAATGGAAATTTGATAAACTGGAAGACTTTCAGGTATTTGTAACAAAAAGACCAGAACTCATACAGCATTTTTAAAAAAGTAGCTCAAGTGTCCTGTTTATTACAGAAGCTAGGATATGGAAACTGAGTCAACATTTGCCCTTGATTGACATTGCTTTGACATACATTTGGATGCCTCAGATGTTGTAATTCCCTTTGTACGTTAATTTAACTTTTTTGTGTTTAGCAAGTAGATTGCCAGTCAAAATATTTGAAACTGAGAGAGAAATAGGAGTGTTTGCATCTTGACTTTCCTGTGCCTTGTTGGGTTTCACCCTGTATCTGTTGTCACAGTGTAGGCCATGGCTTGGTGCCACATATACCATTTCAACAAAAATCTCTTTTCAAACAAAATGTTTCCAAGCCCCAGTTAATGGTTTGCTTTTTTCACGTACAATTTGATGCAATAAAACTTCAGGATGACAAAGGAATTTTTAGGAGTTACTTGGAGTTCATCGTAACAGGTGCCAAGTGGTGTGGATGGATTCCATCTCGCATCATCACTTACTAATAATAACGAACATTTATGTGGCACATTAAGGTTTGCAGAGCTCTTTAGGAATCATCTCTTTTAATCCTCAACTGTCTCATCAGGTAGGTACCATCAGTATTTCATCCCCATCATACAGATGGGGAAACAGGCTTCTATTTGAGCCTAAATACAACAGAGCTAATGAGTGACTAAAGCATGCTTCAAACTCAGGTCTTTCTGATGTCAAGTCTAGCCTTCTTCCTTCTAGACCACATTAGAGGGAGTATGGCAGGGAAAATCCCGTTGGCCACTAAGGGGCACCACAGTGCACAGTGTTGGGGAGGCAGAGGGTAGTGCTGGAGGTAGGAGAAGCTGAGTTCGAATACAGCTTCAGACACTAGCTGTGTGACCCTGGGCAAGTCCTGTCACCTCTGCCTCAGTTTCCTTACTTATAAAATGGGGATAATAACAATATTTACCTGTCGGGGCTCCTTTGAGGATCAAATGAGACAGTATTTGTAAAGTGGTAGGCACTTAAAATCTTGTTTCCTATTCCCACCCCCCTCCCTTTACTTGGAGTCAGGAGACCTTGATTCAAATCCCACTTTGGACACATTCTGGCCATGTAACCCTGGGAAAGGCACAGAACCTCTCTGAATCCCAGTTTCCCCTTCTGTAAAATGGGCTTAATAATGCTGTGTCACTTCCCTCATGCAATTGTTGGGAGGAAAGTGCTTTGTGGAACTTTAAGTGCTAAAGAAATGTAAAGTAATATTGTTATCCCGCACACATTCTTACCCTATCAAATCTTTTGAGACTTGTAGGACAGGTATGATTATTCCTACTCTCTAAGTGAGGAAATTTAGACACAGAAATGCTAGAGTCTTGGAATTTTTAAGCTACAAAGGACATTAGAGATGATCTAATCCAAATCCCTCATTTTTAGAGATATGGAAACAGAGGGCCACCAAGAGCGGTTAAGTGATTTGCCCAATTTAGTTGAAGAAAGAGCTGAGACTAAAGACTTTTCCTCATCTAGTCATTTTCTCACTATACTACCTTGTCTTCTGATAATGCATTGACTTTTATATAGTAGTCAGTCAGCTAGCATTTAACAGGAGCCTACTCTGTGCCAGGCACTCTTGCTGTCAAGGAGCTCACAGTCTGATGGAATACAGAGCCCACAAACAACTGTGTACAGATAAGACAGAGACAAAATGAACCAGAGACAACCTCTCAGGGAAAGAGCCCTGGTAAGGGCTTCTTGGAGAAGGTGCACCAGAGCAGAGACTTGAAGGAAGCCTGGCAGCAGAAGGAGAAGAATGTTCCAGGGCCGGGGGCCTATGTATATATATATAGGCTTACCTTGTTTTATTGTGCTTTATCGAATTTCACAGATACTGCTTTTTTTTTTTTTAACAAATTGAAGATTTGTGGCAACCCTGCGTCAAGCAATTCTATCAGCACCGTTTTCTAACACCTTCTAACTCACATCATCTGTCTGTGTCACATTTTGGTAATTCTTGAAATATTTCAAACTTTTTCATCATTATTATATCTGTTTTGATGATCACAGATCAGTGATCTTTGATGTTACTATGTTATTTAGGGGTGCTATGAACTGTGCCTATAAAAGATGGCAAACCTAATCGATCGATAAAGAGAGTGTGTGTGTGTGTGTGTGTTGTGTGTGTGTGTGTGTGTATGTGACTGCTCCACCAATCTGCCATGCCCCATCTCTGTCCCTCTCCTCAAGTTTCCCTATTCCCTGAGACACAACAATATTGAAATTAGGCCAGCTAATAACTCCACAATGGCCCCTAAGTATTCAAGTGAAAGGAAGAGTCCATTGTTGAGGCAAACTATTGCTGTCTTATTTCAAGAAATTGCCATAGCCATCCCGGCCGTCAGCAACCACCACCCTGATCACTCAGCAGCCATCAATGTCGAGGCAAGACCCAAGGTTATGACTCGCTGAAGGCTCAGGTGATGATTAGCATTTTAATTAAGGCATATACAAGGTTTTAGACATAAAGCTATTGCACACTTGATAGATTACAGCATAGTGTAAACATAACTTTTATGTGCATTGGAAAATAAAAAAATTCGCTTTATTGTAATATTCATTTTACTATGGTGGTCTGGAACCAAACCTGTAATATCTCTGAGGTATGCCTATACTAACCACCTTCCCACCTCCCTCAGCCTCCTCTCTCCTCTCATTGGGAGGCTGGAGTGCAGAACGTTCTACTCCACCCAGAGCTTTCCTTTATAGAGGGCTAAACACGATCTTTGCAGCTCACTGCACTTTCTGTTGGCAGCTCTGCTTGGTCTGAACTTCATGGAACAAGATGCTTCCCACTCTTGAGTACCCCCTGTTATTTCTCTCCCCATTCTTTCCCCCTTCCTTTTCTGTATTGTCTTCCCCCATTAGATTGTTAAGCTCTTTGAAGGAAGGGACTCTCTTTTTCTTATTTATATCCCTAGCACATAGTAGGCATTTAATAAATGTTTATTGAATTGAATTGGAGGAAGCGTACATGGAGGGGAGTAAGGTATAAGATGAGTAGAAAGGTCGTAAGGGTCCAGGTTAAGCAGGGCTTTGAATGCCAAACCCAAGATTTTGTATTTAATCATGGAAGTGACAGGGAGCCCCCAGAGTTTATCAAATAGGGGGGTGATGCATCTCTGAAAAATAGTATTTTTTTTTAAGGAAAGTAATATTTTATGCACACCAATGAAATTCATCATTTAAAGAAACTTTGCAGTGAACCTTTTTGGAAAATGTGGAATCCTTCTTAATGTGAATTTTCATTCCTTGACTTTTGGTTTGACAGTTTTGGAAACATATACATGTACATATACATATGCACTTCCAAGTACGCATTTAAACGGAGTGTGCTTTTGCTGCACGGTTCTTCTAGCATTCACAAGAACTCTCTCAGCTTCTGTCTGTCTTGTTCTTTCCTCAGCCCCCCAGCCTCTCCTGGCCTGGTATGTTTGATGTTTGGAAACGTCCCTCGGGGAGTGGTACAGATCACAGGTCACTATCCACTGTGGGTCACTGGACTAATTTTGTTAGACATGACTTGCAACCTCAGGCTTAAGAACAAGCATTAACCACTTGATCCTTTGTTACCATAATACACCGTGGACCCCAGATCACATTTATCTGTCTGAACCAGTCTCAGATTCTTGCCCAAAAAGTCCATCCTTTGCAGTGCTGCCAATTTTGTATGTCATTCTATTATATCATAAATCTCCTTCCTTTAAGGGAAGGTTGAAAGAAAGCACCAGCATCTAAGATGGCTCATTTCCCCTGGATGCCAGTGGGTTTTAAAAAGGACCATTCTAGGCATGATCTTAATTTTTTTATATCAGCCCAGCTTAGCAGCTTGCATTTCCTATAAAACACAAACCCAAAAAACCACGTGGGTTAACAACATTTTAGTCTCATTCCTGCCACTTTCATACTTGGAGAGTATTTTTAGATTATGAACATAATGGAATCCAAGTCCTCACAGTAGAGAGCATACATCTGCATTAAAGAAGTGTGGTTTACAACAGGTGACAGAGTCAGTGGTGGTATTTACCGTTCTTTCCTGCATCCCTGCATTTCTGAGCATTTCTTTCGTTTTACACAATGTTCTACACTCAAAATGAGAAGATACAATACTTGTTGGCACTGAGAGTCTCTTATGAAAGATGTTATGTAACAACAAAATATAGATATTAACACGTTTGAAACTACAGATTTTCCATTTTTATTTAGAATCTTAAAACCTCTCACATTTATATATGACAGTCTGATTAAATGTTCTAAGATGTGATTGTAGGTATTAGTTCAACAGTTTTGAAGTCTTGGGAGAAAAACTGGAAACATTTTGCTTATATTTTTTTCAACACAAAGCATTTTGTTAATGAGGCATTTTACACTTCCATATTCTGGGGTGGTAATAAAGGTGTTGATTGATTTTTGGATGGCAGTGGCTTCTATAATTGCATAATCTGACATTTATGTCACTTGGGCTGTTTTAGGTGAGCAGGACGTGGAAGGTTCTCGCAGAAGATGAAGTGTTGTGGTACACGTTGTGCCAACAGGAAGGGTACCTTCCAGAGACCAGCATTTCTGACTGCTCCTGCTGGAAGCTTGTCTTCCAAGAATCCCGGGCCAAGGAACACACGTTACGGACCAACTGGAAGGTGAGCAGTGCCCAGCAGTGTTACCTGTAGGAGACTAACTCAGCAGAGGAGTAAGAAACTTGAAGCTGGAACCTTTGAATGGCAGCTTGAGGTTAAATGCCAGAAGTGAAGGCAGCGGGGAGATGGATGAGCTTTTCCCTCTGCTGCTGGTGAAGTGATGCCCATGTGGTTTGTGTTTACAAAACCATCCCCCATTTTCCACAACAGCATTTAGGAGCATCTTCTAGCTGTCTATTAAATTGGAGCTATTCCGTTAATCTTTGTTTATTAGTCCTTAATACAAGGAGTTCCTATTTAACCTTCATTGATTCTTAAATTAAATGGAAAAAATGAAAGTGTCACCAGTTTGGAGGTGAGGAGTTGAAAATAATATTCTTAGTAAACGCAAGGAAGAGATTATTTTCTGTTCATCACTGGCTTGACTCCAATATCATTTATCACTGTAGAATCTCTTTGGAAGTATTAGATCATAGCTAGAAGTTTTTCTAAGAGGACTTTTTTCTTTTTGTAGGAGACAGCTGCCATGTACACTGTTTTGGAATGATGTTCTCAGCATAGTAAGACAACCTGTTAATTTACCCCCTGAATGTCTGCAGAGACTAGACTGTAAAGATATCCTCCCCCTACCCCCATTAAACCCATGTGGAACATAGGACCTGGTAGGCTTTTGGATTAACAAATTTTTGCTTATTACTAATGATGAGGTATACCAGTTTTTATGGCTAGTGGAGTGTTTTACTTTCGTGCTTCTCTTCAGTAAAGTCATAACTATTGAGTGGATACTTTTGATCTGGACACCTGAAAACTAGCCCATGTATATTGAATGAGAAGTACTTGTCCCAGAGGAGTTAGTGTGTATTGTTATTTTCTCTTAGGCATTTTAGCCTTGAACATTTAAACATAGCTATACTGATTCCATAGGATCTGTCTGCATCCATATCATAGACATCTAAAATCTTCACCCGTAGGGTACATGCAGTGGCCTAAAGGACTTTGGGATATGTTTCTCTGGGCAACGTGCTCTCTATAACTATAGTCCTTGAACTAACTACCTATACTGAGAAGCTTCCTCTCCAGATGTAAATTGTAGATTTTTTAAATAATCTCTTGCTTTGCTATAGATAAGAAAAACATTTTCAGGTATAAAATGGACTTTAGAAATGTTAATTTCAAGACTTAACAGAAGAATAGACAGTGATGCCATAGACGTGAGTCTGTATCCCCAACATTAAGCATGGTGCCTAGTACATAGTAGGCCCTTAATAAATGCTTATTGATAGATATAATATCTTTACAAAGAGAGGCAGCTATGTCAACTGAGACAAGAGGCAGGGATGAAGAGTAAAAGGAGATTAATTAGAAAAACTGGGGTTCAGAAAGCAAGATGACTTAATTCTAGTTGTAGGGTTTATAGTGTGGATATGACCTGAGAGTGAGGAGTAACTCAGGGTAGCTGACTGAGCCCTTTGCGCCCAAGAACTGTCCATGAATGAAACCAGAGGAAGGATTATCATTGATGTAGTCTCACCTCAATTTCTAGGTAGAACCTATAGAAATCAAACTGCATGGCCCTTGTTTTCTCAGTGTCCAGGAAGCTACTGCCTTTTCGAAGTGCAGCCTTTCCCCTTGCCATCAGCATCTCTCTAGCCACTGCACTCCTATTTATTTGGTGCTTAATCATCTTGTGATAGCTCCTATGTAGCTCCCGTGGTTCTTTAAATTGGCTCATGTATGTGCCTTATCTCTCCTTTTCGATAGGGAGTCACTTCATAGCTATTTGTATTTTTAAAGGTTTAGTTGATACTTTTTAGCCTTTTAATCTCCTTGTCACTTCCCAATACCTGACTGTTGCACTGCCCTCTAGAATCCTCCCTGCTAACAAGTTAAGTAAAATAAACTTACACTTTGACTGTCTTTGACAACATAACCCTTGTTCTGTACCCACAGTTTTTCTCCTTGGAGGAAGCAGAATGTATTTCATTATCTGCCCTCTGGAATCAAGGTCATTCTTACTAAGTATTTCTTGAAAAATCAAATGAAGTCAAACTAGAGATGGAAACTTACCAGTGTCAGAACACTGGGGAAACTTTGGTGTTGAGTTTGCCTTGGATTCATTTGTCTTGGGCTGGAAATTTGTTTCACTCTGTCTTTTTGTGGGTTCTGTTGCTTTAGAATTTGTTTAGAGGCATTTTTTACAGGTATTTGGAGGGGTTTGGGGGAGAGCTCAAGCAAGTCACTGCTTTCACTCCGCCATCTTGGCTCCTTGGATTCATTTCTCATCAGACTACTAGCAAAGAAAGATTAAATAATAACATTGCAATTAACATGAGGAATCGTTTATTAAGTTTAATGTTGCCATGTAGGATCTTATCTAAATTCTAGCATGACGAGTTTATAAATGATGGCATTCACTTGTTATACTTGATTTAGACTGGAGTAAGACTCAAAGACCTCTGGTCGATTCAGTTCAGTTCAACTCAGCAGACTTAACCGGACATTTAATTAGTGTCCTGGGCCAGCCCCTGTTAGTGCTGGCCTTGTACTAGCAGGTTAACTCCATTTGATTCCTGTCACTTCTAGAGTTTGGCCTGGTATTTTCTGGATGAAATCTATGAAGCTGCCCTAAAAGGATCTGAGAGTCCCAGGCCTTTCCCATTTGGCATGAACCCGAAACTAGAGTTAAGTCTCTGGACCTGCTATAGTACATATAGTACATACTGTGCAGCTCTTCCAAGACATCCTGATGGGGCCCACACTACAGTGGCACCATTGAAAATTGTTGGACTTGGAGACAGAGGCCTTGGTTCAAATCTCAGCCCTTCCACTTAATATTGCAGGGTCCTTGAACAGATTATTTAATCTTTCCCATTCAAGTTTCCTCATCTTTAAAATGAGGGGGTTGGTCTAAATCAGTAGTGTTAAAAGGGGTCCCTGCAAGCCTAAATTGACTTAGAAAATCACAGATTAACATTATCTATGTTGTTTTGTATTTTGGAGGTGGCTAGGTGGCACAGTGGATAGAATGCTGGGCCTAAAGTCAGGAAGACTCGTCTTGCTGAGTTCAAATCCTGCCTTAGACTCTTCCCACCTGTGTGACCCTGGGCAAGTCACTTAACCCTTTTCGCCTCCATTCCTCATCTGTAAAAATGAACTGGAGAAGGAAATGGCAAAGCGCTTCGGTATTTTTGCCAAGAAAATCTCAAATGGAGTCATGAAGAGTCAGACAAAACTGAAACAACCAAACAACAAAAAATGTGTTCTTATTTATTTTGACAAACATTTCCCAATTACATTTTAAAAAATTTTTAATTTAATTTTATTTTTATTTAGGCAGTTGGGGAGAAGTGACTTGCCCAGGGTCACACAGCTAGTAAGTGTCAAGTATTTGGTCTGAGGCCGGATTTGAACTCAGGTCCTCCCGACTTCAGGGCCGGTGCTCTATCCACTGCACCACCTAGCTGCCCCTCCAATTACATTTTAATTTGGTTCCCAAGGCACTGGGGCATTGCGCATCTGGTCTAGATAACATCTGAGGTTCTTTCCAACTCTGCCTCAATGATCCTTTGTCCTTGTGATTACCTAAATAACATTAAACAGTCTAGTTTTAAGAACTTTGATGTGTATGAGTCTGAGTTCTAAGGGAGAGAATATGGAGCTATAGCTCTCTCTATAGAGATAACTCTCGCTCTCTCTATTTGTATGTGTATATATGTGTATGTGTATATATATATATGTGTGTGTATATATATATATGTATGTGTATGTGTATATGTATGTGTGTGTATGTGTGTGTGTGTATATATATATATATATATATATATATATATATATATATATATATATACACACACATATTTAGGTATATACATACACATACATACACATGTATATATAAACCCCTCTCTTTATTTTCCTGATGGTTAGAAAGATTTTGAAAATGGTAGTACAATTTAGAAGATTTAAAAAATTGCTGCGAGACTTACCTAGATATTTTGTTACTAGATGGTCACAACAGTAGCATAAAAAAGTTCCCAATTTCTTTAATGCAGAATCGCAATGGTGCCGTGAGCCAGCTGCAGTATGAGCTTGGTAAAGTTCTATGTGATGTCCATTCCTGTGACGGGGTTGTTATTGCTGGGTAAGCAAAAATATTTTTACTTTTTCCTCTTGGTCTTGATGTCTCTTATGCTCTCTTGTCCTTTAGGATACTGTCAGACAGAAACCTTCGACTGATAACACCATTTGGCATTGCATCAGATTCTTAGGATGGGAGGTTGCTTGTGATTCAGTTCTCTGCTGTTGCCAAGATGCCTCTCACTGCCAGTGTTTTGCAGCTAATAATGAGACTCAAACTGTAGAATCAGCCTCCTCTGGAGTAGGATCCTTAAGCCATTTGTCTTAATAAGACTTCCTTAGCTTTTAAATTACTCTTGTGGCATGTTGTGTTGGGTTTTCATTAGGGTAAATAGTTTGTATTTTATGAAGACATAAAAAAGTCAGATGAGAAGAAGAAGAGCTGGTACAAACCAGTGTCTACACTAATTCTTTATTTTCGAAGCCTTTATTATGATGAAGGATTGTGACCACACATTATCTTCCTTCCCCACCACATAGTATATATTTGCTGTTTAAACTGCCTTGAAATAGGCTCTTTATGTGTCCTGATGCACTAGAAGTCTAATTTCACTCTCACATCTGTAAATTTCTCTGCATTCTGCACAGAAAACCACTTATGGATTCTTCATAAATTGCTAGAGATGCCCACATGTTTTTCTGTAACACTATAATAGGAAGACCATTTTTCTCTATGGATCATGAATGTTTCTACTCATCATGCCATGTATGCATTGTTGTGAAGTGCAGATTAGAACATTTCAGAGTTTTATTTCAAATTTGAGTGACTCACCTAAAAGAGTAGCTTACCCAAGGGAGAAGTATCCTAGGCATATTTATATAATAATAGCAAATAGATCTGTTTCTTTAGTGAACATAGGGAAAGTTTTCCTTAAGTAGCATTTTTAAATGGCACTCAGGTTTGGACTGAAATTCCAAATGGTAGGCAGGAGGATTTTAATGGACAATTAATGTTTTGGAAAAAGCAGTATTGAGTAACCCTTATTGGCAGTATTTGGTGCTTTCAACACACAACATACCCAGGAGGAAAGCTGTCTTCCCACTTTGTCCTTTTATTTATGTTAACTCGGATTTCAACATTAATGCTGATCGTATGGGCATCACAGAACTATTTTGAGTAAACGTTTGTAAAATGTCCCGCAAGTTTGAGATGAGGGCCATAGAAAGACATTACACCTACTTATGCTAAGTACCAAAAAGTGAGCCAGAAAACACCTTTGTTATGAGCTAGCTGGGTGAACATGAGCAGCTCAGTTAACTTCTTTGGGTCTCATTTTTCTAATCATGAGAAGATTAAACAAGGTGATTTCTGATGTCTTTTCCATGATTCTCTGACAGATCCAGAAGGTATATTGTTTCAGTAAAGAGGCATTTCTAAAACTCTAAAAGATGTAAGATTCAAGGCTGAGGTGCTGTCATTTGGATTATCCTGGTCTAAGAAAGCCAAACGTGGACTTTCCATTCTAGAAATGGTCTTCGTGAAGTGAAGAGCACCAGCAGTATGTCAGTCCTTCCTTCATTATCTCTTCTGCTGTCCAAGATTTGTTCTTCAGCTTAGGCCAGCGTGAAAGGCAGGAGATGCCAGAGTTTTATGGATCAATAGAATGAAACTTGATCTGTGGGTCAGAGCAGACTCCTAGCATCTCTTCTTTCTAAAAGAGCCTTACGTTTATGGCCTAACATCAGATAATTCAATCTCGCCTGTATGTACAGCATCTTGTGTTTATCATTAAAATTTTATCCAGTGGTTACGATGCTTGTTTTCTGGGTCAGATCTTGAATCCCTTTTCATTTGAGACAGTGGTGTTTGTGGTTACCTCACTCCCAATCAATGTTGTATTCACCAGGCTTTCTACAGTTATGTTTCTCTGAGGATTTTCTTAAAGAGCCAGTAACCATTTCACTATCTCTTCGCTGTGTATTTTTCTTTCATTCCTTCTTTTTAGTTTCCTTTTACACAAAGGAAACCTGATAAGAACATCCAGGTTTAGTATTTTTTTGTATTTAGGCCTAAAGTCTATGTATCAAACAGTTTCTCTTTTACATACTAAAATATATTTTACTCTCTGGTCTATAGAGATTACCTTTGGAGTATCTCTTATATCCCTTTCTTCTTTTTCATTCTCTTCACTAAAAGAACTTATAGATAAGATTGGAACCACTGTCCATTATCTTTGAGAAGCTATGCTACATAGGAGAGGCATCAGAAGATAAGAGATGGATAAATACACTGATTTTCCAAAATGGAGTTGGGGAGGGAGGAGGCAAATGAAAAGCATTTATTTAAGATGGATTCCAAAAACTGCAGGAATGGTAATTCCTAACAGAACTCTGGAAGAAATTATTGAATACCTTGTGGACACTTGAAAAAAGAAAATGTTGTTACTAAGTGCAGGATTTGCTAAGAGCAAATCATATCAAACTGCCATCATTTCCTTTTTTGATGGGATTAGAGGAATGGTAGATCAAGAGGACACCATAACATTCTTGTATCTTGATTTCAAGAAGACATTTGACCAAATCTTTCACAGTTTCTTACTAGACAAAATGGGAACAGAGGGAGCTGTAGGAGAGTACAGTTAAGTGGTTCAAGAATAATGTAGCATTCTGTCTTGAAGGCTGGTGGGGCTCAACATGAAACAGCAGCGGTCTCTCATTCCTAAAACAACATTAATGAAATTTCAGTCGACACTAATAAGCATAGAGTGTCTGTGTTAAGAGAGGACCTGATGTTTTCTGTCCTGACGAGATCATACTCTCGATGTAGTAAGGCCATTCTTTTACAGCTCCCTAGTTAACTCACTATCCTGCTCATCACAGTGGCTCTTTGAAGCCTTTTCATCCCTCTGCAGATCTCCTGTGGCTCTCCCTTTTCCCACTTTCTCAGCTGAGAACCTTGCCTCACATTTCCCTGAAAATATTGAGGCTCTTCACCTGGAGTTCTCTTTTCTCCTTTCTTCCTCATCTCACGTCACCCAGATGCCTCCTGCCACTGTCCCCTTCCTCCTCCCTGTCTCCTGTGAAGACACAGCCTTTCTCCTTGCCAAGGCCAGCTCCTCTCCAGGAACGAGTCATCTCATTCCATGCTGTCATTTCCAGCAAGTTGCTCCCTCTATCATTCCCACTCTCATTTATCTTCGATTTCTTCTGTCTACTCAGTGCTCCTTTTTTTTTTTTTGGCCTGGAAACACACCCTCAAAAAGCCCTCAGTTGATCTGTCCATCTCCACTAGATATTGTTCACTATCTTTGCTTCCCTTTTGTGGCCAAACTTTTTGAGAGGGTCTTCTACCGTAAGTGTCTTTCCTCCCTCTCACTTTCCTCTTCTTAACTCTCTACAGTCTGGCTTCCAGTCTCATCATTCCACTGAAATTTTCTCTCCAAAGTTAAGAATGATCTCTTAACTGCCAAATCGAATGGCCTTTTCTCAGTCCCCTTTCTTTTTGACATCTCTGAAGCCTTTAATGCTGTTGGTTGACCTGCTCTCCTGGATCCTTTCTTCTCTCTATTTCTGTCACACTGTTTTATCCTGGTGCTCCTTCTTCCTGACTGAATGCTCCTTTTCAGTTTCTTTTGCTGGATCGTCATCCAGGTCACATCCACTAAAGGTAGGCATTCTGTCCTGGATCCTCTTCTCCTTCTGTACTATTTTACTTGGTGATCCCATCAGTTTCCACAGTTTCAGTTATCATTTCTATACTTAGGATTTGCTGATTTACTTATCTAGTCCTAACCTCTCTCTCTCTCTCTTAATTGTTTGTGGCTTTAAACAAACACACTCATGAACACACACACACACACACACACACACATCTGGTAGGTCATGTGTAGATACACTATCTATAAAGTTGAATTTAAAAGGACTTGCCTATTGGGATTAGCTACTTCATTCTGGAGCGTCATGCCTGTCCTGCTCGTGAGATCAGTAGTTCACTTGTCCCATATCCAAGTTGTTTACTGCACACTTCCTAATAAACTGTGAAGTCACTTAACTTAGATGGCGAACGTTAGCAGAGATGACTGCATTAGCAAAGTCCTGTATATAGTACATATTGTCATGGAAATGCTGTTGCTCAGAATTCTTGAATGGCAGGTTCTCTGATCAGGTCCTCTCTCTGGATGTATTTCTTAGTGTGTGAGGTTGCTGTGACTGAGTAGTAAAGTATATTTGACTTTTAAATGAAGGTGTTTTGCTTTTAATTTCTACCAAGACAGGTAAATTTGACAGATGATTTTAAAAATAAAATGTCTTCCACTGTTGTTAAAAAAAAAGCTCAGGCTAGATGCGAGTCCAGACCCACATCACCAACTGCTTATTGGACATCTAGGGCTGGATGTCCCATAAAACTCAAACCAGAATGTCCCAAACTGGACTCAGTGTCTTTCCCCAGTACTCTCTCCACTTCCAAATGGCCCTAGTACTGCTGGGCCACCACCATCCTCCCAGTCCTGGAGGCTCACAGACTAGGTGTTTTCCTTGACTCCTCACTCTTTCTCATCCCTTATTTTCAGTTCAATTCAGTAAACATTTATTGAGTGCCTACTATGTGCCAGGCACTGTGCTAAACACTAGAGATACAGAAAGAAGCAAAAGAAAGTCCTGGCCTTCACGAAGCTTACAGTTCACTGGGGGAGACAACATGCAGACAGAGACACACAAGCTTTATGCAGCACAACAGGGAAATAATTAACAGAGGAGAGCACTGGAACTAGGAGGGGCTGGGAGAGGCTTCCTGAGCAGGTGGGATTTGAGTTGGGACTTAAAGGAATCCAAGAAGGTCAATAGTAGGAGCAGAGGAGGGAGAGCATTCCAGGCATGGGGGACAGCCAGAGAGAATGCCCAGAGCCCAGAGATGGGGGGGGGGGCTTGTTTGTGGAACAGCCAGGAGGCTGAAGTCATCGCATCAACAAATACGTGGGAGAGTAAGGAAGACCAGGAAGGTGGGAGGGGGCAGGTTGTGAGGGGCTTTGAGTAGGCAAACAGAGGATTTTGTATTTGCTCCTG